TCTCTCCTTCTCCAAGTCTTCAACAGTAAGTTTCAACACGTTGACCTGCTGCATCAATTCGGCTGCTTCATCATCGCCATTGCCTACACCAGGATTCTTTCGCACCACCCCTGGGCCAGCCTTAGGAGCCGCAGTAGTTCTCTGTGTTGAAATGGGTCTCTGTGGGGCTGCACTGCTSGAGCTGAGAGGTTTCTTCGGTTTATTAAGAGCTGGAGCAACAAGAGAGGGAGCAACYGCGGTTTCTTGACCTTGTCTGGCAGCTACAGGGTCATAGTCTTTTCCATCATAGTTTGCATCAAAAAACTTCTTGAACCACTGCAYGAACTCAAAATTATCCTGAAATTTTCCTTTTACTAATTTATCCACAGGAATTATTTTGTCAACTCCCATCCTCTTAAAACCTGCTTGTAGTATTTTGAAGTTCTGGATATACTCATGTTCTAGCTTAGCTTGGAATTTCACTTTCTTCAAAGCAACAGAGCCAGGGAATAGCATGTCCATAAACTGACAATAGGCAGCTCCTGAGCATAATTGTTCAATCTTTGTCAGATTCAACTGCAGAGACTCATTGATCCAGGCCAGCATGTCATGTCGACTTTGGTTATCACTGGTGACTGACGTGGAGTATACGTTCACTGCCATCTTCAGCTCTCGGCGAACCGCGTCCACTGCCCGCGCCCGGCTCCGGTTCCGTCTTCGTCTCTTTCAAACCGCCCGACCCCGCCCTAAGCAATACATTTTTAAATGGACTTGATCAAAGCAGATGATCAGGGCCCAAAAACTCACCTATAGAGGGCATTTAGAGAAACTTGGAACATTGATCTCAGAAAAAGTAACTCTAGGGGGATACATGCTGCCTTAAAGTTTTTGAAGGGATATCAGAACAAATACCAAATTTTAGTCCTACTACTTAGTAATTGAGGACGTTAGGCAATTGTTTGAGACTATTGTCAGGGTTTTAGTGTCCTCATTTTGTAAATTGAGAATATCATCAGCCTAAAAAAGCAATGATAAGGGGAAAACAGAAGTATGCAAAAAAGTAGTATCTACCTGCCAAATAAAGGCATATATCATAAATATTAACTATTTTTATTGTGTGTTTTTGCCTTATTAGTTGTACCCTTTTTAGTTTAGAGAACTAAGTGTAAATACACACTTCCAATGTATATATAATTATAAATTATATTAAAATGCTAGTATGTCTATATATTAAACTTGATAAAACTTAATTTCTTATTTTTTGGATAAAAGTGAAGTAGAAATAGAAATTTTTCACACCTTAATGGATCATATTGCACACTCCCTGAGATTTGTGAACTGCACTCTGGAGACCATTGCCAAAGAGTTTAGAACAAGTATTGCAGGGAAAGTTCACAGGGAAGCAGCTTTTGCCAAAACAAGAGAAAAAATTCCAAGTAGATCTTCTGATATTTCTCTTGCTTTAGTTACTAGCATTATCATTCATTTTGTGATTGATAACACCAGGAAACTAGAAACCCATCTAATATTCTTCCCTGTCAGTGGATCAGCTATTAAATCAAACACAAATTTTACGCCTCCTTTTATATATATATATATATTTTTTTTCCATATCTGTCTCTCTTTCCAGTCTCACTACTGGGCTAGTCTTTCTAATTACTCTAATGTCCTTCTAACTATTCCTAAATTCATCTCCCAGTGGAAGTCTGTCTTTGAAACCTCTGTTTTCAGATTATTAAAACTGAATGACTTTACCTTTTGTGTACAAGGCCTTCATAAGCTGTGCCTTCTAGCTCAATAGCTTCACTTTCCCGTTTTTCCTGGTCCTTAGCCATACTAAATCACTTTAAATAAATATACCATACTCTTTCACCCTTACATTCTGCTGTAGGGACTGCTGCCTTTGCTTTAGAATACCCCTTCTCCTTCCTGTTCTAGCTGCTCCTCAGCTTTTAAGATTCATCTCTCTCTTTTTTTTTTAATATTTACTTTTTAGTTTTAGGTGAACACAGTATTTTTATTTTGTTTCTATGTGGTGCTGAGTATCGAACCCAGTGCCTCACGCATGCTAGGCAAGCGTGTTACCACTTAAGCCACATCCCCAGCCCAAGAGATTCATCTCTTTAACTCTCCTATTCGAGCTTAATGCCCCCAAAATTACCTTATGCTCACTTGTATTACAGTGTACCATCATCATCACTTCATGGAATCAAAGAAAAATAATGCACAGGGCATAGTTGTTTTTGATGGGTGTAGTCTAGATCGAGCTTCTGATTCTATCTATCATTTTCTAGCCAAGAGATCTTGATCATATTACTTAGCCTTTCTAAGAATTTTCTTTTTGTATAATAATGCCACCCATCTTGTAGCATTGTTTTGAAAACTGTGTGAAATAATACATGTAAAACACTTAGCACATTATCTGGTACAGCAGATATTGACATTGAGTAAATGCTATCTGTGATTATTATTAATTATGCTGTTATTTGACAATAAAATGAGCTGCCTTGTGATAGAATCTACATTGCTTTAGGTTTTCCCTTATTAAATAGATGGATCTCTTTCTTGGTGCAACAAAAGGGATTCATATTTTCTATCCCAAATCTACGAAATCTATCAAGATCTTTTCAATTCTGCCTTAAATATCACCTTTAAGACATCATAGCCCAAAGTAGCCTTCTTTGATACTTTCATATTATAACATGCCATTTACCACACATTACTTTTATGGTTAGCATTTATATTTATTGAGGATCTTAGATAATTACCTAGCCCGATATATTACACATAGTAAACACTTAATAAATGGTTAATCCCTCCCTTCCTTACTCTGTAATTTGAACTTCATTCTATAGACATTGAAAAGATAGTGATAGTTTTTGAGTTCACAGATGATTTGATTACAGCAGTGATTTAGAAGGATTAATGTGATGTTAAAGTGAAGGATAAGTTGGAGTAGGAAGGCCTAAAGACAAAGACAAAATTTAATAAGCTAGTTCTATATTCATAACTTATTCAACAAGTTTCAATTAAAATTTGGGAAGAAATGTGGTATAATTGAAAGAGTATAGGTTTTGTAACTAGGTATTCTCATAAATAAATAAAGCCATTGTAGTCTAACAGTTGATAATTTTTCCAGTGTTCACTAGTTGAGAAGTAGTGTTTTTTAAATCTTGTCTCCATATCATTCTACAAATTTTTGCACATGGTTGCCCAACAATGTGAATATGCAAGTGAGAGAATGTTATACTTTTAAACATTTATAGGAGTTAATAAGTCCAGGCACTTACTGACTACTTTTATGCCTCAGGTACTCTCATATGCATTATTTCACTTGCTCTTTCATAACAACTCTGTGGTAAATTGTGTTATTTCCACTTGACCAATTAGAAGAATAAAACTCAAAGGCTAAATCATTACTGATAAGGGATCAAAAAAATGATGGACTTTAAAGCTCAAGTCTGCTGAATACAAGTTTAATGTTTAACCCAGTTATAAAACTGCTGCCTTGGGGTATCTAAATGCATATGCTCACTTACGTTAGATGTTATTCTAAAGGGACAATAAGCTGTTAGATCCACAGCTTATCAGCATGTATCCATTTGAGCCTGGGTATTTCTGTTTTTATGTACACACATATTCACACAGACAAGCACGTACATGCGCACACATGCACAACACACGCATACACACTTCTACCCAAACTTTAGAGAAAGAGAAAAGAGTAAATTACCATTTAAATTTCCTATTACCCATGACGAAGAAGGGAGATTTTGATGATCTGCATACTCATAATTCCCAAATGATTAGATATTGGTTTTAATTATCAGCAGAAAGTGAACCTGTCAGACTTCTTTAGCCCAAGGCATCTCAGGCACCTGGAGGATTTGTTAAAATAAAAATTCTTCAGTAAGGTTGGGATGGGGCCTGGAAGACTGTAAGTCTAACTGCTCAGGTGATTCTTGTGCCACTGAGCTTGCAGACTACCCCTTTTGAGTACAAGAACAGAATTTAAATTTTTATCGCAAATACATATTGGTTGTACAAAGCTGAAATTATAATTATACATACTATTTGTGTTCTGTGGTTTTATGTATTTAGCCTTTACCCTTATTTCCGATATAGTATTCATAATTATGATTTACATAAGCTGTAGAGTTAATATTATATTAGTAATATACATCATTCTCAGTTATTTCACCATTGTAGATAATTCTGCATTCAATTCCCTTGGCCATATTATTTTTTGCTTTTTAATTATTTCCTTAAGATAAATTCCCAGGAGCGATTACTAGGTCAAGGAGTAAACATATCTTTGTTGTTTAATAGGTAGTTTTGCAAGATGGGAAAAGTTTTAAAGATGGACATTGGGGATGGTTGCCCAACAATGTGAATATATTTAATGCCATTAACTGTATGCTTAAAATGATTGAGATAGCAAATTCTTTATTTTTGTTTGACCACAATTTAAGTTCTTTTAAAATGAAAACAGTAGAAGGTTATATATAACCCATCCCTCCCAAAAAACAAAGAATATCTTTTTATTTTGTTGCATAATAAACCCTTGACTTTTTAAAAGGAAAACCAAATTATAATGTTATCAGTATGTTTACCTCATTTGTGCCAGTATTGTGTGTCTGTTTCTTAAAATTTTTGCTAAACCAGGGTCTGAGGATGTAGCTCAGTGGTAGAGAACTTACCTAGCATGCACAAGGTCCTGGGTTCAGTCTCCAGCACCACAAAAAGAAAAAACAAATTGCCAAATAGTGTAATTCTTCAAGTTTGCCTTAATTTGCCTTTTTATTTTTGTCAAGACTAAAATGTGAACATTTGCCCTTATGGATTTTTTTCACTATTTATAGTCCTCTTATGTGAAATATACATTCATGTCATTGGCCCTCATTTCTCTAATATTAAGCATTTTTAAATTTAAGAACTCATTCTATATACAGTGTTATAATGTTATGTCATAGTATTTGGAGAAAGTATTTCTCCCAGTCTCCATTGTCCTTATTAATTTAGATTTAAGAAATAATTAACTTTATGATTTTAATCCATCCTGCAGGTGAATTATGGAAAAGTTTGTAACGACAGCAGAAAAGGATTGAAATTCACTGTCTCCTGCGGCTGCAGTTCAGAATTTGTTTTTGTGCCATATGGTAGCACCATTGCTGTTTATACAGTTTACTCAGGAGAACAGATAACTATGCTTAAGGGACATTATAAAAATGTTGACTGCTGTGTATTTCAATCTAATTTCCAGGTAAGAATGATACTTAAGGGAATTTAAGATGTTCAAGTGGCTAGCTTGCTAGAGTAGTAGCATATGAAAGTTACATTGTGATTTCATTCTGAAGGTTTGTATTTATAATCCACATTTGAGCTAAGATTTATTTAATAGAAAATAATTAAAGCCTAGATTTTTAGGTGGTATTATTAGGTGACATTAAATCAATATAATACTATGCAATTAATTGGGACAAATTGTCTTTCTTTTGCATATGGGCTCCATTTAGCTATTGAAAATCTCTGATGAAACAAAATATTTTCTTTCAATCTTTTTTGTAAAATAAATGAATAAGTATAGGTATTTAACTTAAATTGTAGTGTATCTTGGTTTATGTGCGTGTGGGTATGTCTGAAATTTTATTTCTTCCTTATTTTCTACCAATGGCTAATAACAGCCTGCCTTTAAGTTAGCGTAGCTTACATAATTTCTTAAATACCTGTGGATTTTGTTTAAAATCCTGATCTTTCTCTTTTGTATAACCAATGCAACATATGTTTTGCATTCGTTAAGATATTTTGACTACAAATTATAACATTCTACCAAATTGTTTCTTCATCATAGTTTTATCTAGAATGAATTAAAAGTATGCTAAAATATTGATTCTTGGGCTGGGGATGTGGCTCAAGCAGTAGCRCGCTCGCCTGGCATGCGTGCGGCCCGGGTTCGATCCTCAGCACCACATACAAACAAAGATGTTGTGTCTGCCGAAAACTAAAAAATAAATATTAAAAATTAAAAAAAATATTGATTCTTCCCAGTTCCTGGAATAACTAAGAGAACCAGAGACTAGGCCAGTTGTCTCCTGTCAAATATGATTTCTATGTAAGCTATGAACTCAGAAAGATTTTAATCAGTATACTACACCAGAGTTGGAGTTGTAGCTCAGTGGTAGAGCGATTGCCTAATATGTGTGAGACACTGAGTTTGATTCTCATCTCCACATATAAATAAGCAAAGTAGGGCTGGGGTTGTGGCTGAGCAGTGGGTAGAGTGCTTGCCTAGCACGTGCGAGGCCCTGGGTTCGATCCTCAGCACCAAAGAAAAATAAATAGAATAAAAGGTGTTGTGTACAACTACAACTAAAAAATAAAATATTAAGTAAATAAATAAGCAAAATAAAGATCCATTGACAATAAAGAAAAATAAAAAACACTATATCAGGAAGCTCCCCACTTTTTATTCCAAATCACCTACTATTATGCTGAAAATGAAAATAATTATAAATCTTAAAAACAAAGAGGGTAGTACTTTTGCATCCATTTAGCAGCAGAATTCCTTTTGGCAAATTAAATATGTAAAACTTACTATCTGGAAAAAGTTATATTAATTCTACCATAAACATACAAATCTGACAAGATAAACTTAACATTAAAATGAATAATTATAGCAATGGATTATAACCTATTGGCAAAAATGGAAATCTCTGAAGTTATGCTGATATCAACAAGTAGATTAGGTTGAAAATTTGGTAAGGAAAGGGATATTTACATAGCCTAAGTGCTAGCCTACAAAATATTATGTACAAAGGTAAAATGTAATTTTACTTTGAAGAAGCCTGGAATATTTTTCCTTAATCAAATGATCAAAGTTAACATTCTAATTATGAGTCATCACATCTATGAAATTCCTGGCAAACTTGCATCATTCAGTTTTAACCATGAGGAAACATTAACACAATCCAAATTTGAAGGACATTCTACTAAGTAACTAGTTTGTGTTTTCAAAATTGTCTAGGTCAGGAAAGCCAAAGAAATCAAAGAACTATTCCAGATTGAAAACTTGAGACCAAGTGCAGCACTTGATTTTTAACTGGATCCTTTTACTAAAAAGGACATTATTAATACAAATGGTAACACTTAAATGGGACTTAAGAATTAGATACTAGTAAAATAGCAATGTTGATTTTCTGATTTTATGGGTTACATTGTAACTATATATAAACGTCCTTTTTCACAGAAAATATATACTAAATTATTCAAAATCAACAGAAACTTATGTTAACAATTATGGTTTTGGAAAAAAATTACTTGTCCTGAACTTGTRACATAATTTTTGATATTTTTAAATCAAATTTCCCAAATGAATCTTTACATTTATCCTAAAAACCTTAGGGCTCAATTCTGATCTCTCCATCCAAGTGCTCTTTATTAACCATTCATAAGTGCTGTCTTTTCCAAGCTGGTTTTTTTTTTTTTTTTTGGAACATATATGGGATATCTTATTTATTTATTTATTTATTTATTTATTATTTATTCTTTTTAGTTATACATGACAGTTGAATGTATTTTGACATACTATACATGCATGGAATATAACTTCTCATTCTGTGGTTGTACATGATGTGGAATTATACTGGTCATGTATTTATATATGAACATAGGAAAATTGTGTGCAGTTTGTTCTTCTGTCTTTCCTATCCCATTCCCTCTCTTTCCTTCATTCCCCTTTGTCTGATCCAATGAACTTCTATTTTCCCCTGCCCCTTATTGTGTGTTAGCATCTACGTATCAGAGAGAATGTTTGGCCTTTGGTTTTTGGGGTTTGGATTATTTCATTTAGCATCATAGTCTCCAGATCCATCTTTACTGGCAATTGCCATAATTTCATTCTTCTTTATGGCTGAGTAATATTTCACTTTGAAAATATATATAAACCACGTTTGGAGGGCACCTAGGTTGGTTCCATAGCTTAGCTAATGTGAATTGAGCTACTGTAAACATTGATGTGGCTGCATCACTATAGCATGCTGATTTTTATCTATTTATTTTAGTTGTAAATGTACACAATGTACCTTTATTTATTTATTTTTATGTGGTGCTGAGGATCGAACCCAGTGCCTCACACATGCTAGGCAAGCACTTTACCACTGAGCCACAACCCTAGCCCTATAGTATGCTGATTTTAAAGTCCTTTGTGGGATTTCTTTTATGTCTCAGTCTGTAATTTTATTTAGGAAATTTGATATTGTTTAACTGATTTGATATTTTATATGTCTACATTTCTCATTTAAAAACTTCATATTATTTTTTTTCTTTACTCAAAATCTTCTCTTAAACAATACTAATTATATGATGCTTCAAATGTTTTTAAGATGTGGAATAATAAATAATTGCATTCTAAAGCAAGGGAAAATGCCTGTTGTTAGGATTATTTATTCCGATCTACAGAAACACAGTTGTGAGGGGAGAAAAAGGCCCATTTAGTCATTAAGCGTTTTGTAACCACCTACATTTTGTTGCCTTTTTAGCCATTTTTTTAAGCCCATTCTCCTTTGCACAGTAATTTTTATTATTATTGACCTACTGTTTTATATCCTGATTTTTCCCCTTTACATTTTGAGTATTTGGTTTAAATCCTTTTCTCTTGATGAATATTTTCCAATGTCATTAAATGTTCTTTGACAACAAATAATATTTCCTCATATAAATGCAATGTTAATTTACTAATAATCATTCTTCTGTTCCTTCATAAATATTTCTATTTCTGTTATAAGTTTTATTTGGATGATAGCCTTAGATTTTTTTTATTTTTTTATTATTTTTTTGAGTTTTTTTTATTGGTTGTTCAAAATATTACAAAGCTCTTGACATATCATATTTCATACATTAGATTCAAGTGGGTTATGAACTCCCATTTTTACCCCAAATACAGATTACAGAATCACATCAATTACACATCCACATTTTT